GTTGTTTAATTATAAAAATGAGAGTCCACCACGTGGTATTACCACGCGGGAAAATACCGTCGATATAAAATGTATATAATGGAAAGATCTCACCTCTCGTTCGCTTCGCTTACTAACTTAACTTAACTCCTTTGATTTCGATATGTATTCACAGGCYTTCTATAATGGACTGGAAGAATGTCCTTTTGTACTGGCCCCGCAGGGTGTACGGACTGGATGTAAGAAGTGGGGAGGCGAGAGGTGGGGGTGACTAGAGGGGCGCTTCGGTAGTTTCTAGAAGTTGATCGATGCTCACCATGAGTATCGATCGAGACCTTTAATCGATGGAGGTGGATGCGCGCGAATTTTGAATACTGCTAATTACCGTATGATCCTTTTGGATCGTACACTATCTATCTCTTCTGTTCTAATCTTCTACTCTCTCCTTTCAAACCACTCATCCGTTAAGTCGACCTCTCAAGTATAACCGTAGATATCAACGTACAATTAATAACATCGTACAATAAATAAACAAAGCTTACATTTCCGCCATCGGAGAGATGCTTAATTTGGAGGAGATAAATTAAGCATCTTATCATATATCCTCACTCATAGGAACAAGCTTTGTGACATGATACAAACCCAGTGATCTGTTTTTATATCCTGTATCTATTTTATAAATCGAATCTGAGACTTTTTTTTCTTTTCCTTCTTTTTTTTTATTCATTTTCATCTTATTCTTCCGTCTCCTTTTCTCCTGTTGTTGCCATTTTTTAACTCTATCCTTCCAATTATTATTACGATAATTTGCAATAGGATTATTTTTTTAACGTTTTTTCTAAATTTTTAACGAATCATCGTATAGATCGTTCAACTTGTTGTTCAAATTTCTCGCACGTTTTTTTCGTTATCTTTAAATTACTATTTTTCTTTTTTTTCATTTTTTTCTTATTGTTGTTCTTCTTTTGATTTATTTCATCTTTTTCTTTTTCTTTCTCTTCTTTTAATTATTAAAATTATGAATATTTTTATCCTTAAAAATATCAACTTTGTTTTCATTATTATAAATATTATTAATATCGTTGTTGTATTTTAAATCAATATCATTGTTATTATTATATTTGTATGTATCAATCGTATAAATATCATTCGTTAAATCTTTCGAACGTCTATTATAATAATAACTTTCGTAAGGATTTTTTCCATGATTATTGTAATTTAGAGAATAAAAATTTCCATCACGTTTAACTCTCGATGCATTTCTATTGGCCAATATTTGTGATATCATCGTCACATTAAATCTATTCGAATTATTATCTATGATATTATTTACATTCGAATTATTTTCATTATTTTGATACTTCATTGAATTCATTTCATTTTTAACAGTCACGTTTGAATTATCCAATGACGATGAAGATGAAGGTGACGATGAATGAAGAATTATTTCATATTTCGTAGAAATGTTTGTAGTTTTCATAGTTGCAGTAAAGGGTTCTTCGTCAATTGATTGAATTTTATTTGTATAATTGTTGATAGTATTATTTTTTAAATAATTATCATCGATAGTTTTCAAACCTTTTCCTAATCGAGTTTTTTTACTTCTGTTAGATAATCTTTTTTCAAAAATATCACTTTGTTCTAAACCACCTTTAAACTAATCATCCGTTTTTTCCAATGCTAAATAATTACTTTCCGATGTGTTGTTACTATTATTGTTATTATTGTTGTTATCGTTAGCCTTGATTTCTAGTTCATCTTCAGATGCATCGGGATGCATTCGTTGGTCACCTTTAGGACGAGGACCATTTTTATTTTCGTTATTCTCCCAATCGTATAATTTCTTTAATTCGTCGTACACGTTGTCGATATCCTCGTATTGTTTCTCATTTAATTTCTTCGAACCAATTCGATTTTCCAATCTAGTTTGATCAAAATTGTCCAATTTTTTGTCATGTTCAGGTAATTGGATTGGTTGTTGTACATCATCAAAAACAACGTCGACTATTTCTCGTTAAAGATTTTCAGGTACACGTAAAATATATTCGAGTGAATTYTTTGGTAACATTTTATCAATGTTTACAATTTCTTGATTAGGTTCTTCCATAATTCGTTCATTTTCATCTTGTTCTTTTTTATTGTCTTTTTTGTATTCTTCTAATTTTATTATTCYTAAATCGTGATCATGAGTMAACCTAMAATTTTTTATAGTATCTAGACCCAATATAAGATCMTGATCAAAATCATCACTTTCTATTATAAATGCGTTTATGTTTTTCTCTTCGTTTAGTATTCTAGCCTTTAAAGTTATCAGTCCATTTGTTTTTCTTTTACCATTAATCGATTTTAAGGTACCACTTGGTTAATATTTATCGTCGTATTTTAATTTTATTAATTTTGAGTTTATCACTGTAACCTGCGATCCAGGATCATAAATTGCTGTAACTTCTAGAAAGTTATTTAGTAGTACGTCAATTTTGATTAATGGTAAGAATTCTAGTTTTTTTAGATCCTTGTTAAGTTCAACTTCTAATATTAAATTTGTAGAGAGGTTTTGATATTCTACATTATTTTTTCCTGTTTTGTACCAACATAAATTTTCTGGATGATATCGGTTTGGCTTACCTTTTTTTTCACATATTTTGCATGGTTTTTTCTCCTCAATACTTTTTGTTCCATCTAGTCTTGTAGTTGTCAATCTCTTTATAGTTTTGTAATCGTCTATATCTTTCTTGTTCGGTAATTTTTCATATCTCCTTAGTTCATTAAATAGGTCCTTTGCATCTTTTAAATTTTCTCTGTCTATGCTTTCTCTAACAGATTGTGGTAACCCTGCAGCTATTAAATTTATCACAGTAATCATATCTATGTCCTCGTTTGTCTGCTATATTAAAAGTTCTTTTTTAATGCATAATCCAAAAGAAAGCCGTTTAAAAATCTATAATTTATGGCCTGCATGATTGGTGACCACCCTTTATCCGCAAACGTTCTTAAAAAATTTTCTTTTCAAATTTTCCACTCTGAATTTAATGAATTTTTTATCCTCATAGAAGTGTACCAATCGTTGCAGTTTTCCCCCCAAAATAATCTTAAAATTTCAATTTTTTATATATCTTCTGTTACATCAAATCTTTTACACTCACTCTCATATGTTGTTAGCCATTGAATTGCTCTGGCATTTTTACCAGAAAATTTTTCAGTCACGAATTTCTCCGAAATTTTATTTAAATTTGTGCTCTTTCCCAATTTTTCATCTAATCTTGTCTCTTGCAGTCCTTTTTGTTGTTGTTGTTGTTGTATTTCCTCTAAAAGGTAATCCCCCAATGCCATGTTTCCACTTTCATCAACGTATTCATTTCGAATTTCATCCGTTAATTTAAACCATGTATTGCGAACCTGTCCACGCTTTTTTAGTGTGGCCGCAACTTTCTTGAATTCTGGCAAGGCGGTTAAACTTCCATGAAATTTCAAAAGACCTAAATTTCTGGGTATTTCAAATTGTTGTTCCTTCTCGTTAGTTACAGACGTGATAACAATAATACTTGTTTTAAGGTCATCCGCCGCCACTACTTTAAATTTAAATTTTATTCTTGACATGTTGTCTGCCTATTACTCCAAAGTTAGTATTTTCTTCCACAAACAAGGAAATTGTTGATTTATAATGTGTGGACAGGTTAAATTGAAGCAGAAACACAAGATTGATTCGTCTAAAATATAGAGTTTTATTATTTTATTATTAACAACGTAACAAACTTACTTACCCTAACGCATGTGTCCTACTTACCTAAAATATAGAGAATCAACAATTTAATGTTTATGCTTCTCTATCTCTATATCTATTCTCTCTATATATATATAATTATCATTTTATATTATTTTTTAAATTCTCTTTAAAAAGGTGTACCGCAATCAGCTGCTAGCACTAAACCCTTCTATCTCTCTAGTTTATCTATCTCTACTGTCCTAATCTTCTACTCTCTCCTTTCAAACCACTCATATAAATAATAATATAATAAATAAACAAAGCTTACACATATATATATATATAAGACCAGAATAGAAGTGGTTCAAACAAAACGATCAAGAATAGCACAAAGTGTTGTTCTGAATCGAGTTTATTTTTTTGTCAACCTTATTTTTCAATATACAATATTTACAAAATGAACAACATAATATTACATGAAACGAAAAACGACAATTCTGTCTATTCTTCACTTTTAGCACTCACTTTCATAGTCCGTTAAATCTATCTATCTTTTTTAAATATTTAATCTGATTTGTATACGTAACGTCTTTTCTCCCTTATTTATATATCCCGTCTGATCCATATACGTTACGTCTTTCCTTTGTCTCTCTTGTTCGTATATCCCATCAGGTTATACACATAACGCCTTTCCTACTATCTTCTTACCCATGAAAGCGCGCGTAATCACAACGGAAGAAAGTACACTTTCTTTACATATATATATAGGAGACAATTCTATTTTATAGTTTATCACATTACATATGTATATATAAAATCTTATAGGTAATATATTATCACAAGTGCAAGAAGTTTATTTAATTTGGTTAAAGAATAAGAAAACGTTTACATACCTATCATATGGTTTTGCGCTCCAAATATGTGCGACAGAATTTACTAGTCAGGTAATGTTTAAGGATAGGACGTACCTGGTAACAGTGGCATATCAAGCGTCCTCAAACCCTTTCCCCACAAATATATAGGTATTAACGTAGGAATGATGAAACAAATCAGTGGCATAGGAATTCTATAATGTCTAGTAAAAAAATAAAGCAAGCAAATAATATCAATTACTCAATATAAAGACAAAAAAATGATTAGAAAATATTCTAAAGTAATTGATATTTACCTGTGTCGCCATACGACCAACGAATCTTTCTTGAGATCGCTCATATCTATAGTAGCACCTTTTATTTTAACATCAGGATGCTTTTTTAGCATAAGACAACCAATATGAGAGAAGAAAAATCCTTTTTTCACGTTATGAGGATCGGCATCAGTATAGGTGAACTTGTGATGGACCCGGTGATCTCTTACCCAATCATAAATGCTATTCTGTAATATAAACCATTTTATTAACTTGTTTGCACTATTGCACAATTTACGATTCTTCATATATGTGCCATTTCTTTTTATTGATTTGCATCTCATAAAGAATAATTTAACGTGTTTCTCTTAAGAGTTTGTTTTCTATCAAATGAAATAATTGATTTAGATTAGATTCTTATTACTTATTATATATAATTTATAGTTTATATTTATATTTAATATCGTTATATAATATTTATTGTTATGTAAAGCGCTTTTTTGTCACAAATAATAAGTTTATTGATTAACCGGGATAAAATGGAACAAAGTTTTATGCGAGTATTTGTATTTATATATAAAAATATAAAAAAAGTGAATGAACTTACTTAAAACGCCATTGTTTGGCAAATCATCAGTATTAGTCTCATCGGCCATTTAGCTTTGTATGCTTTATGTGACCATAATCTATGAGCACCTGCAGTAATACCGATGAATGTTATCGGTATTGTTAGTATTACTGTAAAATTGAAAGGAGTTTATTATTTATTGTTTTCAATAAAATATAATTTATTTACCGTTTTGTTACTATAAATGAAAATTGCAATAAATCGCTGCCAATGATAATAGAATAAAACTATTAGGTAAACATGACATTGTGCGATTGGTAATTTCAATCGATAATTGTGATAACTTACTGAATATTATAGTATAGAAATTTAGTGCGGTTACACTTAAAAATAATTCATATATGCAGCCTATATGGAGATACAGAAGAA